AGTCATCACCACCCACCGCCAACTCTTGGGCTACTCTTTTACCAACGAATAGTGGGATTGACCGCCACATTATAACGCCCCCACGGCTGAAAGGGCGAGCATGTTTGGTGTGACGGAGATTCGAACCCGTGACCCGCAGATTGCTAGTCGAGCGCCCTAACCACCTGGCCATGCGAGACTTATTCAGCAGAAGCATCAGCACCAGGGGTGCTATAGCACCCCCACGTTTACATATTTGACTTGTATAGCAACTGTGAATTATAATATAATAATAAATGTGTAAAAGTGGATATGCTACAGCACCCAATCACACTGAAAAGTGGAGTTCATATACCGTACATGAAACTAAGTTCCCAGTAAAAATAGTTTGGTAAAAGTCATACAGTTGCATAGTAAAGAAATACACTGTTTGTTTATATGTGTTTTAATAAGCACAAATCTACACAATGGGATATCTATGATGTACCTATCGCGGATATCGAAACCGTATTTTTAACGTTACAAGCCGTAAAACGTACCATTAAGTCACCGAGGGCATAAAAATAAAACAAAAAATAAGAAAATAGTATAGTAGGATCTTTCCGTCACTCTTATAATGCGCTCACAGCCCCAAAGTGTAGAGAGCGATTTTATGGAAAAGGGACTCGAACCATGAATCTTCGGATTCAGAGTTCGGCTTGCTAAGCTACGTTCAGCCCTCAGTGGCGGCAGGTAATGTAAGGATTATAATATAGAACATAATAGTTTTGGTAATGCATTTATCTTTCGAAATATGCTCCCCAGTGGGTCAGCGGCAAATTTGAAAGGTTATAAAGCTGAATATCTGGTTTCGATACCCGTGGTGAGCACAGAATAGATAGTCTACTGTACAGCTTTGTGCTTAACAACAAGCTAACACATTTTCTAAACATAAAATGCGTTGAATTTTTAAATGTAAGTGGAAAGACCATTTAAATGTTTTGTGCAATTGTTTAGAAATTATATTTTCACAGTTCTTGAATCTGTTGCACTTGTAGGTTTTCGAAAGTAAAGCAAATACCCTTTTGGATGTTTTATCAAGCTATTTAGCATAAAAAACCGAGTTATCTGTTAAAATATATTTTGGTAAAGATGCTAAAGTTAATCATTTTTGTTATCGATTTAACGAATGTTCTTTACGTTTACAGATATCAAATAAACTGTATTCAACAAATATACTATATTGTTAAACTATATACTATGGCGATATTAAAGTTGAAAAACTTTCCAAGTAACCAGGACATACAAGATTATCACACAACCTATTTTCAAAGAATTCCAGCGAGACCTGCTTATTTTGCAAGATGAAATATCAAACCTTATGGTCAAGACAGAGGAGATTGAGAAGAGTGGATGACGTTTTTTGGTGAAGTACCCCGTCAAAGTGTTCACTACGTACAAAAATACAAAACCTTTCCTGAATCCGAGAAGTCTAAAACATTCTGGGTAGTCATCATTTACCAACCTTCGTTTCGTCGTCTTCTCCCTGGACGTTAACTTCGATAGCCAAACAAAACGGGCGTTAATGTCTTTCGTTGTACCACCTTTCAATCAAGAATGTTCGCAGAAATAGCACGAACAATAAGTGTTTCCAACAAAAACGGCACACTACACCTTCAAACATCGTTGTCTGATTCAGGCAGCTAAGTGAATGGAGGTCTAGGCTTTGTGCCAACAGGAGAGAGATAACTGGAAAGTCTTGGAAGAATCTGGCCAGTCCGTGATATAGAAAGAGGTATACCAGGTCCAAGTGGAGCTTACTTAGGTCAAGGAAGTCATCGGAAAAAATTACGTTTACAGCAAAGTTTGCTAAAAGCTGGTGAAAATGGCCGTTTGTTGAATTTCGCGCAAAACTACTTGAGGGCTATCTGTCCCTAATTTAGAAGTGATAAACTGAAGAAAGGAAGATAGTTAACACTACTCACTGCTAACTCTGGGACTACTTTTTTACCAACGAAAAGTAGGATTTTCTATCAAGTTATAAAACCCCCATGACTGAAAGGGGAGCACGTCCAGTAACAGAATTTTAACCACTGCCCCGTAGAATGCGTGTCGAGTGCACTAACTATCAAGCCATGCCAAGTCTAATGAGCATGTCAAACTGGATTTGGTAATAGCTGGTGAGCATGTGAAGCCAGTTTGTTTACTGTAGCATTTGGTAACATCTGGTGTACATGACAAATCGTTTTGTCTCTTCTAGGATTTGGTAACAACTGGTGAACATGTAAACCCAGTTTTGTCTTCTGTAGGATTATGTAACCGCTGGTAAACAAGTCAAACCAGTTTTTCTACTATAGAGTTTGATAACAGCTAGTGAACATGTCAAACCAGTTTGTATACTGTAGGATTTGGTAACAACTGGTGAACATGTAAAGCCAGTT